CGGCAGCGTCCGCGGCCTCCTGTGAAAGAGAGGCTGAGCTGCGGGTCCGGGGTGTCATGTCTGTTCTTAAGAGATTCGGGATTCAACAGGGAAATATAAAACTTGTTTCTCGGTACAGGAATGGCCATCATCTGGGCTTAAGGCAGAGATCTGGAAATGCCTTATGTTGCCCTCCATCCCCTGTCTTGCTCTGCCCATCTCTTTTCTGGTCCCTCCCACCTACTGCTTCAACACCGATTCCTGCATTTGGAGGCAGAAATTGGCTTCCTGGAGAAACTGACTCCTCCTGCCACCTGGTTCCACATATTTTAAACAAATAGCACAAGAAAGGGAGAACACAGGCATGAAGAAGAAGAGGTGAATATTCACCTTCCTTAAAAAGTCAGCATTTATTTTATATTAAATAAATCGTCTTTATTTGAATCATTTCCCTCATCCAACTCCTCAAACTATCTGCTCCTGTCAACCAAAATGTTTTCCCTGAGCAGTTTTAATGAAACCAGGAGCTTAATGAGACTTGGAGGCTCTTCTGCCATGTGGGATGCACAATGTCCTTGAATGACACTAAGTGGTCACCGTCACCCAAGCACGTGCTCCCAGGAACTGGGAGGATGAGTTGCAGGGCCCAGCGGTGTACTGTGCTTGGCTGGAAGAGGATCAGGTAGGGCAGGAGGGCAGCAGAAGACTGACAGCTCAGGGGAGTCAATCCTGTCCTTTTGACTGGATAATGATACTATACTAAATTTACTGCTATAATGAGTGGATTTGGAAGAAAAAAAAAAGTACTCCTCTCTGGCATTGCCTCTGACACTGTAAGTTCAATTTGATTATTCATTTCAGCAGGTCAGTGTCAAGGTCACAAATTTGGGTTTGAGCTCTCCTCAGCTGGGATGTATCAGAAATGGCCAGCAGAGGCCATGGCCTGTGGTATGTATTGGTCCTATCTAGGACATCGGACTGATGCAGACACCCATCCAGGAGGCGTTCTGTGGGACCTCCTGCCCTAAATGTACATCCCTATACACAAATCTAAATATACATCTCCATCCCAGGAGAGCAAGCACAGCAAAACCCCATCCTAGTAGGCAGCCTGGACAGGCATGGACATGTTCCTTCTCTGTCCCAGGACAGCAGGTCCTAGGGACAGGAGTGCCAGGCAGCTCCCAAAAGGCTTGCCAGCACCCATGTAGCATCCTACTATCTCTTGCCACCTCTACAGCTGCTGGGGGGGACTGGCAGAGACCTCCAGCAGCACTCTCCCCACCCCAGCCAGGCTCATTTACCCTCCCATCCCAATAAAGGACCCCAAAGCCATCAGCCCACAAGCCCTGGGCTGCCGCCAAGGGCGGTCATGATGCAACGGCCGTGCTATCACCGCAGCTCAGCCACTCTTCTCAGAAGCCCATGGCAGGGGATCAAAGCCCTGCCCGGGGGACGATGGCTCTGCAGGGAGAGAAAATGCCAGGGAGAGGGCAGAGAGGGCCTGCAAGGAAGCACATCCCACCTCTGTGCTGCTGTAGCTGCAGCAAAATTATATTTGGGAATGAGTGTCCACACTGAATTTTCCTATTTCAGCACTTCAGCGCAATTACATTTGTTCCCAGAGGGACATCCCCAAGGTTTACACCCTGTGCGCAGTACTTAGCCATGTACCAACTACTGGTGTCACAGAGGAAAGCAAACTTGAGGGGCCCTCTCCCCTTCACATACATCCTCCTCCATGATGCTACTGCATTTCGGGACCAGCATTTTCAAGGCAGCTCCTTGGCCGTTGCTGGGTTGGAGGCAGCAGGCTGCTGCCCTGCTTTGAGGTGCCAGCGCTCAGTATCAGACGTCGTCTGGATGTCATCTGCCTCGTGCCCTCTCTTTGGGTGTGCGAAAGGACACTCTGCTCTTCTGACTTCTGGCCTGGAGTGGAGTACTATGGGTTTAAAAAAAAAAACCAAACCACCCCAAAACTCCAATTAGTTTCACGCCTACTTTGTCTACAGGAATTTAGACACTCAGAAAGGTGGAAGTGAGTGTAGCCCGGGGCTGCTGGTAAGGCAGGTGTGGAGGATTGTGTAACCACACTGTTCCCAGAGATCCCCCTCCCGACTGCCCACCCTGAGGTCTCAGCCAGAGGAGCGACCCCAGCACCCAGCACCCACCTCCACCCAGGCTCTGGCGTGTCTCATCAGCTGCAGGTGGAGCTCAGCAAGTCTCTGCCCCAGTCACTGCTGTTGTGGTACCCTCAGAGCCAGCATGGCAAAGCCCCTTCCCACCAGGCACAGCCCCCAAACCTCATGTCCCCATCACACTTCTGCTTCATCACGATGGGTACTGCCTTGGCTCTCATCTGACCTACCTGGTGGCACTGGGTAACCCTCAGGGCCGAGTCTTCCTTCCTCAGAGGACTTTTTCTCCTGTTTTAATGCAGATTGCCTACAGGACAGGTAGACACTGACTCCAGGTTGCTGACTGCCTCCCACCACTGCAGCGACTGGTCTAACTGGTGAAAGTTGGTGAGGATAACTCCATGGGAGACACAGGCTGACTTGTCACTAGCTAAGGACACAGCGTTTGCTGCCGTTTTTCCCCTGATTTGAGGAAGGTGATTTCTTTACATGGCCTCATGCAGCCATGCTCATCCATGCCAAATCCCGAATTCCTCACCCGTTGCTCAGTCTGGCAGGTTGATATTTGTATAAAGCATCGTGCTGGAGGGTCCCTGCTTAGGCCTGCGAATCCCAAGGCCTGAGTCCCACATACAGCAAAAAGAAATCTATATACTCTAAATATAAGCTGAAACAGGGAAAGTGAGCAGGAGCAGGCCATCAGGCAACACTGCCAAGGTGGCAAGTGGTGGTCTCATGGCCACCACATTCTCCAACAGGTTTGAAGGTAGCCCTCAGCATTTCCTCACACGCTCACCCAGCTGTGCTGAGGAGAAGGGTGCTCCACATCTCCCCAGAACCAATCCAACACTTAGGTGGAACTTAGACCAAAACTTCAGTGGTTTGAACCAAAGATTTGCCCAAATAGTTTGCCTCCCAGTTTAGAGGTTGTTGCCCTCCACTCGCTGCAGGGCTTATAACTTGAGGGAGGACTCTGCAAAAATTGAGCTGCAGGGCTCTGCCTGTTGGGCCATGGCACTTTAACAGACTGTTTCACTGAGAAATCCAGAGCAGAACAGAACAAAAATCTTTTTTAGCTTGATTCTAGCTGGATATTGTGTTTGCTGATGTAGCCCGTTAATTCGTGGGGCTGAGAGCACCATCGTTAGCAGCCTGCTTACCTGATGACCAACCTCGCCAGAGGTAATGAGCAGCTGTTGAAAGGCAAGGCCCTCAAATGTTTAGTATCCCCGCTGTCTTTAATTTTTTAAAACCAAGTTTCTCACCTATTCAAGGTCCTTACCCACCATTTACAACTCTCAGGACAAAGTCTGCAGGTAATATACAACCACGTGTGGGGTTATAATGGTGTAACAGGATGTGTTGTTTCTTTGCTGTTCATGAACCCGGGCACAGTGCTGCAGACACAGTCTCACAAGTGCCAGGGAGAGGAACCGGTGCTAAAAGAATTTCAAGAGCTGGAAAAATCAAGCTTTAAAATCAGCTGCATTTGCTGGTCATTGGCTGTCAGTAATATGCTACAGCACTGCTGGTTTTGATGCCTTCCTCAGATCTATGAGCACATCGTGGAGCTGGAGCGAGGAAACCCAGCGCTGCATTCATACCTGCGCTCAAGAAGGTTGTCACTCTTCCTTTCTGGCAGCACCACCTTCTTGTTTTCCTGCAGCAGCAGAAGGCAATGGCACCAGCAGAAGTCTTTTGGCCCACCGTTCACTTGCCTCAAGCAGGTTTTGGTCTCAGCTCCCGTGCTCTGATCATGGAGACTGTGGCTGATCTCTTGCCACACATGGAAAATTACAGGTCATTCCTG